AAAGAGAAAGGAAAAATTGAAATCGCATCATATGACCCCTTTAATATAATTTAAACGGATGAGTTATAAAATAAATTCACCCCCCTCAGTTGTCATGAAGGGCAAAATTAGCTATATAGACCAAAATAATTTTTTGAACCAGGCTGCAAACATGTTTTTTTTCTGCTGTAAAGTTGGGCATTTTAACATGGGGAGTCTATGGGATTGACTCCCTTTTGCAGCCAGCCTCTAGCGGCCAGTTGACGAATTACAGTTTAAGTCACTTCCATGTTGGCTTCACAAGAGAGAGCAGGAGGTTGCCGCTTGATTATAACAAATACCTGCAGAGAGCGCCAACGGCCTGGTGACGTTTCACTTTACAGCGTGATTAAACGATATTTAAATCCATTTAATTTTAATATTTGGCCTCGCTTCTCCATTCATCAGAGCTGCGATGCGCGTCTCGTGTTTATAAGAGCAAAATATTCTTATTGGCTGGTAATGTTAGTTTGGTTGAGAGTGAAAGCTGTGCTCCTCTCATTAATATATTTGATTTTTACAGTAAGATATGTTCTCTCTTTTTCTCTCACTAGGATTGATTTTTTACTGAGATAAATTAAGAGGGGTTTACTTCCATGGGTAAGGCTTAGCTGTTCTAGAAGTGCGGTGAAAGTGAAGTCTGGTATCTAGGTTTCCTAGATAGGCAGGGCTGGGAGTAGCCTGGAATCATCTATCTGACAGGCTTGTCACGCTTCTATATCGAAGGCTTGCGGACTGTTGACAGTGCAGTGGAATATCCAGTTACATGTCAACACAGGTGGAAGTCAACAAACTTGCATTTGACTTCATAACCCCATCTGCCATTAAAAACGGTTTATAGGGATCAGGGCCGTCCTTAGCTGACACGGGGCCCGGTGCGAGGTAGGGAGCAGGGCCCCCCTCGGTACGTTCGCGATCGCGTTCCGGGGGTTGGGGTCCCCTCGGTCCGTTAGCCGCGGGGCCCCCTCAAAGCACGGGGCCCGGTGCGACCGCACCAGTTGCACCGCCCAAAGGACGGCCCTGATAGGGGTGGACCCGACCTACATTCTTGTGCTTTATAAGCATAGAGTCTCCTTTTAAGCAGATGTGATCTCTGATGTGATAAGGGAAATAGAAAGGTAGCCAAGACGTGGGAACTGATATGAAACTACAACGTACTGGACAGGATGTAAATGAGGTTATGACTGATAGCACAGGGAGTCTTGTGTGTGAATGGAGGAAGTGTGGTGTGGTTTGTCTGGTGAGGGTAACTGTCACTCTCTTACTAGTGGTATAGAGCATGTGACAAAGACAAAAAAAGCAGCAGACAATGCCTAAAAATAATTTAATTTAAATATATAATTTATCCAATATTAAAGCCTCCCACATGACAGGGGTTTTCAAACTTTTTGATGGCCAAAATATGATGATCCCTTTCATAAAATATAATGGTAGATATACAATTTAATAAATAAAAACCCATTTATATTGTTTGAGGAAAATATTAAGCATCATATTACTAAGAAAACATGTTGTTTCCAGTATTAATTCATTAACTTTTGAATTGTCACTAAATATTTACTTTTTATAAATTTGACAGAACGGTTTTTACTCGCTATATAAATCTTTAAATAAAAAACAGATTTATTCTAATTTTTTAAATATTATTTCTTACTGATTACAACTAAAGCTATTAATTGAATAGCAATTATTGTGTTAAATATTATTTATTTATTAATTTCCATATTTTGAAATCAGAATGAAACCATAATATTTTTAAGCAACTGTTAAAAATGTTGCATAAAATATTTAATTTATGTCTTATGTTATCATTTTAACTTTGACAACCCGGATGCATGTGTGAAAACCCCTGTACGACACTTTCTTGCCTTTTTCGTGCCTTTTCTTAGTGTTGCATTTAAAACATAACCACAAAGTTACACTTTGTAAATGTGCTGCATAATCTAATGCTTCACAGTGTTGGTTGTTCAAGTCTTCTGATATATGAAAGAACAATGATACAATATTTGACATGCTCTTGATAATCTTCCTCAGGGCACAAACATGAATTATCATGATTATCCTTAAACAACTTTTGATTGCCTGCTAAGTAAATAAAGGTGCATGCCGTGCACCATGTGCAGTTTCCTGCCAGAGAACACAACAACAACTGGTCTGACACTTTGGGAATCTAGTGACTGACCTCAGGACAGGGACTTAGTTAACCTCACAGATACCCGACTAAGACCAAGGCACAAGATGCAGAGTGAAACCTGAACTGTGTGGACAAATACTTGAGGACATGTTTATAACCATGATTTGTGCAGTTGCAAAACTGCCATGGCTTACACATACACATAAATATTTCACTGCCACATTAAATTAAGTTCATGTGCCATGTTGTTAATTTCAAAGTAAGAGTCTCAGTTGTCAGGTCTTGGCAACATGTTGGTAACGTCGCGCTTTATGGTTATTCGCACTGTAACGAATCAGCTCATGAGGAAATATGAATAATTAATCATAACTAGTTATAATTAATTATGAATATTTAGATCCGCTGTAGATATTTACTTGACCTCTCAGGGTCAACTGTCTTGTCAATTCTAAGAACGTTAATTTCCTGGTTAAGGGAAATAACTTTCTTACACAGACACACAGTACACTTTCACTTAGTCTCATTTGACACTGGTAAGGGATTTTGTGGAATATATACAGGCTTGTGATTGGAGACTGAGAAGCTGATGAAAATGGTAACACCCAGAGTACTCTGAAAACTTTGAACAAATGTACACAATGTGCATAAGCTGTTCCTAGAACTGGATCATTAACATTAATTCATAATAGCAAGAACCAACATTCTTGGCGTTTATCTTTTTATTGGCACACCTCCTTGCAGAAATGCCGCGTCAGTTCACGAAGATCTCTCTCCACGAGGTGGATGAGAGAGTGCGACTCTTGGCTGAGAAGGTGTACGCTTCAGCTCTGAAGGAAGAAGACACTAAAAACACCTTGTCAATGTTCACCGTCCCTGAGGACTGTCCCATTGGCTTGCATCAGGCCAAGGAATGGGAGCTACGCAAAGAGATAGAGGAGCAGAAGTCAGAGGAATCAGTCAAGAGGTCAGTAAACTCAAATATTGTACAGGACGTAAAACCAATTAGCAATTTGTGTTAATGTGATATTGAAAATTGATTTCTTATGCTGTATGCCCCATTTTAGGAAACAGAGTTTCAAGCTAATGCGATCCCAGACACACACACACACACACGCACAGTAATATAAGGGGTAGGGCATTTAATTAGAGCCAAACAGCTATGAATTAGTGAGGCTAAAAAAAAAAAACACACACAAAAAAAAAGAGTACATACAAGTTCAGTTATGATTTGCATGACCAGTTTGTGTTTTTTCAAAGTCAAATAACTTTGAATGCGGTGGTAGATTAGTAGACTAATTTATGAAAGAAAGCATTACGAGTGAGTGTCCATGATACAGTGATTACTGTTTGGATATTCATATGTTGGAGCATGAACAGACTACTTTGTATGTGTTCACATCTGTTACTTTTAAAAGTACACTAGCAGATAGATACCCTCAAAGCTAACATTATATGGACATTAAGTCACAAAACTTTAAACTTCTAAATTCTAATTACTATTACAGAGGTATACAGGTGCATCTCAATAAATTAGAATGTCGTGGAAAAGTTCATTTATTTCAGTAATTCAACTCAAATTGTGAAACTCGTGTATTAAATAAATTCAATGCACACAGACTGAAGTAGTTTAAGTCTTTGGTTCTTTTAATTGTGATGATTTTGGCTCACATTTAACAAAACCCACCAATTCACTATCTCAACAAATTAGAATATGGTGACATGCCAATCAGCTAATCAACTCAAAACACCTGCAAAGGTTTCCTGAGCCTTCAAAATGGTCTCTCAGTTTGGTTCACTAGGCTACACAATCATGGGGAAGACTGCTGATCTGACAGTTGTCCAGAAGACAATCATTGAAGGGTGGGTAAGCCACAAGGAGGGTAAGCCACAAACATTCATTGCCAAAGAAGCTGGCTGTTCACAGAGTGCTGTATCAAAGCATGTTAACAGAAAGTTGAGTGGAAGGAAAAAGTGTGGAAGAAAAAGATGCACAACCAACCGAGAGAACCGCTTATGAGGATTGTCAAGCAAAATCGATTCAAGAATTTGAGTGAACTTCACAAAGAATGGACTGAGGCTGGGGTCAAGGCATCATGTGGGTTTAAATGGGTTTTTGTTAAATGTGAGCCAAAATCATCACAATTAAAAGAACCAAAGACTTAAACTACTTCAGTCTGTGTGCATTGAATTTATTTAATATACGAGTTTCACAATTTGAGTTGAATTACTGAAATAAATGAACTTTTCCATGACGTTCTAATTTATTGAGATGCACCTGTATATACATTACACTAATACATTCATATATGGGTTTGGGGTCAGTGAGATTTAATTATTTATTTTTTAAGAATTTAAAACTTTTGATCATCAAGGACACATTAAATTGATCAAAACTGACTTCTGAACTTCTTCAAACAGTCCTGAAAAAAATGTATTATGGGTTTCACAAAAATGTTAAGGGGCACAACTGTTTTCAACATTAATAATAGTATAATTTTATATTTTATATAAAAACTGATGTTAAGAACTTTTGTTGGAGTCATGAGATTGTTTTATTGGTATATCTTTCTATGTATATATATTTTGTTGATATAGTTACATATGGATCATTTTGGATGATTTGTAAATGTATTTGCTATATTTTGTTATGTTTGAGATATATATGTGTATTTGTTTGAAAGATGTTTCTTGTATCCTCGTGACATTACGTGTATTACGGTAATACATGTTTTAATGAGCATAGGTGTTTGCTTGGTAGCACATGGCACTGAGGAAGGGTTAATACCCAGTGCTGGGGTAACGCATTACAAGTAATGTGAGTTACGTAATCAGATTACTTTTTTCAAGTAACTAGTAAAGTAACGCATTACTTTTTAATTTACAAGAGAATATCTGAGTTACTGTTTCAAATAAGTAACGCAAGTTACTTGTTTTTTTTTTTTTCCAATTTATTGATTGACAGCTCTCCGGTCCCAATGTTGAGAAATCA